GGTTCAAATGTGTCCACCTTCGTGACACGCTCTTATTTTTTATAGCTTCAAATTTTTTTAAATATTTTATTATTATTTACTTTTTTAAAAAATAAAAAAATAATAATGGGGTTCGTGGAGTGTAGTAGTGTGCAAGGAACCACTAGTACAATCCCACGCGTTAAGGGAGTGGAGAGGAAGAAGTCACGTGAGGTGGGGCCATGAATCTCACGTGATAGTAGTGCCACCGGTTGGAGTCGGTCACGTGGCTATAAGACAGCGGTTTTGTTATCAGCTTTGTTGGGCTGGCGGTTAACGGTTGCCGGGGACTAGTAGCAGCCTTCCACGTGGCTGCTGACATTTTTGAAGGTGTATGATACACTTTTGTTTTTAATCTAGTGTTTGACAGTTCTACTGATCTTATGGTGATCCTTAAATCCGAGCCGTCCATGACTCGAGGGGAATTGTTAGTGGGGTTTATGATGGTGATTGAGGGTTGGGATTATCTGGGGTCCCACTTTAAGAGGGTGTTAATATTTGGAAGATGGTGGTTTAAAGTTTCATGTGAGTGATGGGGGTCATGGGTGGGAATTAGTTGCTTATCCAATAATCTAGGACCCACTCATTTTAACAAATCATTTTCATTTTTATTTTCACAAAGCTTTTAAAATGTTGTTAGGTAGGCCAAAGTTAGAATCTTTTTAATCTATATTTAGATTTTGAAGTTAATTTGCGGGATTTTGAGTTGAAGTTATGTTGCAAATTACAAACTTTATTATTATTATTATTAATATGATTAGTTGTATGTTAAAAAATGTTATGAAATTTCCAAATTTGTGAACTTTAACATGTTTGATCTTTGAATGAACCTGCTTCCCTTTTAAATCACTTTTAAGTGGGGCCCTCATTCTAATGTCGGTTAATAATCATGTGGATCTAATGCTAAAACTAGCAATGCTGGTATAAGAGCTTGGAGTAATGTGGAATTGGTCTAATTGGAGTAATGACTAATGTTTTTTTTTTTTTTTTTTTTTTGACAGAAATGACTAATGTTATAATGTGGGCATTTTTTTTTTTTCTATTTTTTGTATCAAATGACAGTTGTAGCATTCTCAAGTTGGTCACCAAATCATTGTCTTAATTACTTGCTTAAATAGTTGTATGAGTTGTTTCTGTTTCAAATCTGATTTTGGATTCTTATTACGTGCATGAAATCTGACTTCTTCTTCATGATTGGTTGTTACAGATTTCGGCTTCCACTGAAACCCCGACCACCACCACGACCAGCAAAAGACCTAGGAGGAAGAAGGTACTGCATCTCTTATGGTCATTTAATGATGTTTATTCGTTGCACCCTCTGATGCACTACACAATTGTTTTCATTTTCTTATTGAAATGATTATTCTGTTTCATACGCTGTCATGATCTTATACGTGATTTTGTCAACTTTTGTTAGACATTTGCTGAACTTAAAGAGGAGGAAAGTTCACTGGTGAAGGAGCGGACATATTTGAAAAAGGTTTGAATTGTTGAACTTGGTCAGAGTCTTAGCTACCTTGTTCTTTTTTCTGGAAGCAAATTACTGATGATGTTTCTACATCTCTGAACAGGAGTTGGCTACATTACGCGTAACCTTGAAACAGGAAAGATCAATAAATGAGAATCTAAAGAGAATTAAGGTATGTTTTTATTTCCCCTGATGCGACCTCTTGTTTGTCTTTGACTTTAAAGTTCACCATGATCCTTTCCAGTGCGCTTTCTTCATTTTGTTTTATAGTCTGAACCCTGTACTCTATAAAACAATGCATAAAGATTGACACAAGCTGGTATACTGGTTAGAAAAGTCACTTTCCGGACTTAGTGGTTGCCTCACTATTTTGAAATTTCACTGCCCCATAAATCTTTCTAATATAAAAATGAAATGACCACTATTTGTTGGAATGGAGGTTTAGATACATTGAATTTTATTGTCAAATTCTGAAAGGATGTTGAGTCGGAAACTGAGTGAAGATTGATTCATCATGGCTTCAAGTGTTTCTGTGTTTAGAACTTCTGGACTGCTGATTGAACTATCCATATGCTTGTGAATGCTGATGCATATGTAACTTAACTATGGAATTGTTTCAAATGATAAGAATTGTTCTTTGTCATTATTGAAGTCTTCATTTGGTGTATAAGACATTAATTTTAAAATTTTGACTTGTTCTACAGCTTGACCTAAAAGTAGAATCCAGAATAAAATCAGAAGCAAATTCAGTTAATGAACATAATAACACAAACAATGGAATATCAGAAGCAGCCTCGTCAAGTGTATCAAGACAAAATAAAATTGAGGATGCTTCTGATTCATTATCACAGAAATGTGCAACGTCGCATGATTCCCTATTTATGCTACCTGATCTAAATATGGTGCCAGATGAGGATGCAGTTGTTGGAATGAGCTGATGAAACGAAGTTTCCGTTACCTCATTTCCAAAATTTGAAGCTAACTGTTTCTAAGGTTTATTTCTGGTTGGCGCTTTATTCAACTGTGCGATGACTTAAGAGCCCTCCATCAGACAGGTGTAATTACAGCAGGACTTAGGGATTTACTTGGTTATTTACTGCCCAGATGCTAATACAAATCCGGGCAATCTACGATAAGCTTAGTATTCATAGTTGTTAGATAATATACAGATACTCAAATGTTCGTTCTTTTTTCCTTTTCGGTCAGATTTTCTACCATCTTTGCTCGCTACTGCTCCAAAAATTCGTTGGGGTAAGCCCTTTCACTTCTTTGCATCTGGAACAAAATACGTTATTTAATGTATTCTGTGCCATATTCTTTCCTTAATTAGGTACTTATGACTTACGGGCAGTTGTACAATAGATGTTAGAATCTATCTAATTTCATGACATAATTTTATTTCTTCCTAAAGAAAATATACTGCTTTCTGCTGCATGATATTATCATCATCAGGAGCTGCCTGAGTACCCAATTTCGGATTCAATATATTCAGCTTTATAGACAGTTTCAGTCAGTACAATGAATTCTATATTATTTGCAAGATAATATAAACATGGTCTATTGGATTCTTTCTTTTGTTTTTTAGCTTATAAATTTGAATGGAAGATAAAATTTGGTTTGATTATTAAGTAACTCATCAAGTTCCGTAGGCTGTATCTGTATGGAATTTGTTTGTACATGGATACAAATCATACAGATAAAGATACGAAAAATGACAACTAAAAACTTGTTAATTCCTGGATAGCACTGGATGTCATTGGACATGAGTAATACAATTATTGAAACTCTGCCTTGGTGATGCGTTTGAGCTACTTAGATTCGGACTGGAGCATTTTTTTAAAAATGTTGTACTTCTATTGACATAATAACAATTAGACAACTAACAGAGGGTGAAGATGAATGACGCCCTTCTAAAAGTTAATTCAGCGTATTGGTAAATTTTGTACGCCTAACTGTAGATTCCTTTACGACTATATTGTTTTATTATCTATCATGTACTAATTGTGGCTGGATAGTGTGTGAAGGGGAAGATAGTATTAGTCAAAAGAGTTTCATAAAAATTTAAAGACCTACCTTTAAATTTTGTCTCTGTCTAGATAGGCATATTTGGTATGTTTATTGGTAATCATCAAACAAGAGATGCTGGTTGCACAAAGAAAAACATTTGAATCTCGTGAGTAAAAAGTTGACCATTAATTTTCATTCATATTTCACATTTATATTAATAAATCAATAATTTGAAGAATATGTCAAAATAACATTAAAAATAGTGTGGTCCAAATATGACTTTTGAAATGGTCTAGGTGGCGTGGAACAGCTGACCAATTGTCATGGTGTTCCCCACTTTGTGGAAGCTTTCATGCCATTAATTACATTTGGGCCTTTCTCCTATTGGGCTTATTGTTGGGAATGTTTTGGGCCTCAAATTGGGCCTGTTGTGTGTGTGTGAGCTGTATTCAACTATGGTATTAGTTGGAAAAGTTGAAATAAAAAATGGGTAATAAATCAGTTTTGACCCGTTTTTGAGTCCGACAGTTGAGCTACCACCGACTATTAAAAGTAGAAAGGAAAGGGTAAAGTAAAGAAGACAACATGAAAACATCCACAAACACTTGCATAAATCATTAAATAAATTTTAATAAATGTTTTATTTGTTGTTTGACTTGAAATCTTACCCTTCATTTCCCAAAATTCATTTCTAATTATGTCGGATCTCCCTTTTATATTCTACCTATAAAAAATAATGCAAGATGTGGCAAATTCGTTTTTAATTTTTTTTTTTTCCCTAGTATCTCAATTTTTATATTATTTTTCATGTACTCATATTGACTTTTAATAAACTTTTGGAACTTTTCATTGTTAATGATTATAAATAACAAAATAATTTTAATTAGGATTTAATTTGATGGAAGCATAGTCATGCCCAAAAAATCTTAATAAAGATTAAAAGAGTTGTGTTATTTTTTAATACGTCATGGATAAACTTTATATACACAGTCCTGTTAAAATATGACAAATAAGAATTATGATAAACTATTTTATATAGCTTGTAAGCTTAAGTATTGTTTGGTTGACAAATAAAAATATGGAAAGTTAAAATTCCTAGGAATTGACATTGTTTGGAATTGTTTGGTTGACAAATTCATGGGAAGTAGAAATTTCCATGAATTCCCACTTCCCACAAAATGGAGGAAGTAAATTACCCAAGGGGACCTAGGTAAGTGGAACTTCCTATTCCTTGGCTAACCAAACACTTTTTAGAATTTCCTAAGAAGTTCAATTTCATGGGAAATCAAATTTTTAAAGAATTTGCAATTCCTACATTCAACCAAACTAGCACATAGTAAATAAGAGACTAGTATTCCTCAAAAGAAAAGACTAGTATTTGGGACGGAGATAGTATTTGGGACGGAGAAAGTAACCGCTTAACATTAGCTTTCACGGTAGAGAAAGTACAAACATTTACCAACTTAGATCCCCACAAAGAATAGCAGTATTTAAAAGATTATAGATCTGGAGTCAACTAGACATTGCTTGAGTCTAAAGTTTAAAAAACGGAAACAAATCCACTCTCTAAGCATATTTTTGCAAGTAGGTATGTAATGGCTGATAAAGATGCATTATTTATAAGGGGGCGGGAATCATGATTGATTTTGTATATCATGTCAGGTAAGCTGTTCACCCTCTCGGAATCATGAATTTGTCTATAACCTATACTTTTTATTTCCTGAAACAATAAAATAAACTTATCCCTCTTATACCTGTACTTTCACAAAACCAAAGGTAAAAAAAAAAGACGCAAATGTTTCAGAATTATTCACAGGTCCACAGGACAGCGCTTACGGCTAAAATCGAGCCCGGGCTCTCGGCTTCAGCTTCCTTGCAAGACCTGAGAGGTTTACCTTAAAAAAAGAGAGAGAGAGCAAATTCAAGATTTCTGGATTTGAATGGAAATAGAGGGTAGAAGATACAGAAAATGCAAGCTTATAAAAGAATAGAATAAAGGCAAAAGAAAAAGACCTTCAAAATTCAAAAATCAATTGTTCCATTCAGTATGTAAAGAATCAATGATGAGTAGTGTTGATAGCTTTAACAACAGAGGTATCTTGAAGAGTTTAATAATCTAACCCCCAACTAATCCTGATGACGAGGGGAACAAAAGAACAATATTATATAAATGTATAACGAAAACAGCCAAGATAAGGGGGACATTCAAGTTTGAGTCACCAACCATCATGACTGTCTGATGCTCTCTTCAACAAGTTCAATACAGTGGTACAAAACAAGCTCAAGAGGGTTTAATCCACACATTATGTCCATTGCAAGTTGCTTGTCACCCTTTTTGGTTTCTGCATTTATGCTCATCACCAAAGTTCTTAGAGGCAAGAGCCACTTGTTGTACACCTCCTCTAATTTGTTTCTAGACACAACTCCTGTGAAGTTCGTCTTCCCTGTATCAGCGGTCAATATTCTGGCATCAAAATTCTTGAAACAGCATCCATAGTCTCTCATACAGATACAGAAACAAATTATGCAAAAAAATTTATGGGTCTGGAAAATTTAAGGGATACTGAGATGTTAATATAACTTTTTACTACTATGAGATGCCATCACAAGCTCATTTTTTGTTGGAGGAATGGGGAGTCAAAGATAGGGATCTATTTTACTATTTCTGGACACGGAATAGGGGAAAAAGAACAGAAAAGAATAGGATGGATCCATTTTCCATCCCCTTTTAATCAACGTATCCTTACACTATTATAAAGAATTTTAAGGAAATGGAAGCATAATCCTTTTCATCCTTTTCTCCACTCATCACCCTTCCCCTTCTTTCCATCCCCTCCCCTTTCCACCATGAACGCTAACCAAACACGTTATAAGTGATGCAGTAAGTCAAGCTAAGCTTGGTGAGAGCAAAGTAATAATTGTGGCATCTGAGTGCTTTATAGGCTATGAAAAGCTGTGCAGCAGGCTAAGAAAGAAGTACATCGTTGCTGTTAGGAACTTAGGGCAAAGCCATACTGGTGCCTTGTTGGGTTCTGGTATCGCACATGTCCTCGAATAACAGTGACAGGTCCCTGCATAAGTGATATCAAACTTATCGGCAGCCTGGCTCAATCCAAGGTTCAGAAAGGGATTCCATATCATATCCAGTTATTGCAGGTTTCTGGCCGGGCATAAATAAGAATAAAACGCTTGATTGAGGGGATAACATCAAATCCTGGGTCAATCATAATACCTCTTAGCCCTGAAGCACTTGAAAAACTATAGCCCACGAGTAAATAAAGTTTTGCCTTGGAATCTGCATGTAGCCTCCTAGTAACTGCCATTGCATTAACTGGTCATATGGGCTCTTGGCATCCAAGGTAGCCCTCAGAGACTACTCTAACATAATAACATGTGGCAAGATCTGCATCCTTATGTGAGTAACAGCACTAATGAACAACAGACCAGGTATACCCATGTTATCCTAAATTCTGACAATCTGACCAAACACTAGTTCTTTAGACTTTAGAGAATGCAGGAGCTAACTACTCAGATTCACAAAATTAGGGCAAAAAAAGTTAAAAATCAATCCTACTTGATGATAAGATATCTCGCAAAAATTACACCAAAACTTGACAACCATGAGTAAAGGATAGCTTCCAGCCAAACAGTACTAAGGCCTGGTGAGTGGTGGGCCTGCAAATGATCCCTAAGCACTCAAGACCCTTTAGTTGACAGTTTTTTTACCTTAGTCCAACAGCACTTCATACCCTATGCAAACCCGGCATGGGTACGAGCAAATGGCAGACTGCTGGCACTTCTCAGGCACAAGCCAACGTTGTCCCTTATCCACAACAATGATTATAAGCGTTGTAGGTATTGGTTTGGTGAAGAGGGTAGCAAGCCCAAACATGTAAAATATTTGTTGACATAGGTTGCTGAGGATATAGAAATTCTAGAGCTGTATCGAGACTCATCAATCATCATTCCTAGTCCAAGATATTCACATGGCCAAGAGTCAAATTGGCTCTGGCAGATCAATAAATTTTCCCATCTTGTCTATGATCGGCAAGTTTAGGTTTAATAGATCACCTTCCCCATGAGCTGACAGAATCCCAAAATGACACAGGAAAACTCTAGGATCGGTGCAACCAAGCAGAATCACTCAGAACCCTCAAAATCCACTGTGTCAAGCTCACTCTCCTATAATAAGAAAAGGTTCATAGTTGTAAATAAGGTTCACTAGATTCTAGCTGTAAATTCTCACCCTCGCAGTGTAGCAGACCATGCGAATCAGAGGAATCATACTGTTGAGAGCATCTCAAGGCACATATGTGTAGTCTTTGCCTCAATCATGGCAACAGAGTCTTGATCTTAAAATAAAACATTGCAGCACAAACTCCTATGATTTGGAATTGACCATGTGCTGTATTTATGGATACTTTTTCATAGTTATTTATGGATTTTCCTTAGTTCAGCAATGCCAATTGCTTCCCAGATCCAAAGACTATACTTTGGTCATTAAAATCATGAAATCAAGGAAATTTTCACCATCTTACTTGACTTTAATGGTTCTAAGACACTCCATGATCATGAGTTATACTCCAACATTTGTCCAGCGTGTGTCGAGACCTGGGACAAAGGGGTTACAACATCTAATTAACCTTAAATCTGAATCTGTTGACCTCCATTTCAGTGAATGTTTGTGATATAAGGCAAATCTCACCATACATGCAATTTTTTGTAAACATCACTCTAAGGGCCAGGGTGACCTATATATCTCACATCTAAAACATGCCAAGATTATCATAATTAAGGTCACTTGACAGCAGTGAGCCTGTGAGTTACACGCATTGGTTCAGTCATAGTGTCATACTGCAGGTGAGAGATAGTAGTAACACAGAAGAATGAAGTCAATTCATATGTACAGATACAAAGCAAGCCACTCATAGAGACAAATTGATTTAAGTATAAACAATATGCTCACCTGTTTTCTCTGCTATTAGAACATATCTATACAGGTTAAGAGCTGAAAGAACCTGCAATTTACGAATTAAATTAATGACAACAAAGTGGAATCAGAAGATATATAGGAACATGCAGTCTGCCCATTCATCCCAAGACATCATAAGAGGAACAGAATAAGAGTACCAGGATCAGAAACAATATAAAATAAGCAAGAAGCCATTTAAAAAACATACAAGTTAAGGAATGTAATACCGCATCACTTTGCTGAGGGAGGGAAGGTGGTCCTCCATTGGGGGGTCTCAAAATAAATTCTACCAATTCAAGTATGCTAGCATTCCAAAAAGTGCAGCTAGAAGACACTTTCTCTTCTCGCAGTTTAAGATAATCATTTCGAAGATTCTCCCTAACGCAATCTAAAAGTATTGCCACCTGCAAAAAGTACCAATTGGCTAGATGAGTGATGCAGAGTCCACTGTGTCTGGGATTATAGATCAATGTAACTACAGAAATGAGGAGATAAAGTCTAACCATGGATGAAGAGGTGCTAGATTTAACCAAGACCTGCATTATGTCTAGCCTTAAAGAAGCTGGATTATCAGCAAGAACCTGTCAATTGATCAGATCCCAGGAGAATGACAAAATAATGAATATTCTTAAGTACTTCGTATATAACAAAAGACTTAGCACCACGATGTTTTAATATATAATATGAGATACAATCTATAAGATGAAAGACACAATATATAATAATTCAACATCTTTAGCTTAAGGAAAAAACAAACAAAGATATGCAGCAAACAGGGCAATAAGGTGCATCAAGCCACCAGCCTTATAAACAGCAAGCTCTTCAAGTGCAAGAATTCTTTGTCATCAGAAATAGCAGAGCACACAACAATAAACAAGGTACAAAAAGAGTGGGGAGGAAAACTGGGACATTTGGCACGCAATTTTTTTTTTTTAATTCCAAATTTAGTAGTTGCTAACATTTTACTCATCTCTGAGTGAGATATGGAGTTCTATTGATAGGGTACTTAGCATATGGCTCACTCAAGAAACCATAGACCAAAAGATTTCACTTGGGAGCCCCTAACCATGTGATTGGGGTTCATATCCCAACCTCTGAGTGGTGGAGGGGCACTGTCACTGCACGGACTTGGGTCCATGACATCCCAGCACTTTTAATGGAGGGCTAGCAAAGGAGTAAGGTTTTGGTAACAGCCTTCTATATATTAAATAAAAAGAAAGTATTTTGAACAGAGCATTCTAGGGCTTCATTTTTATAGAGTAGTTTAGAACTGAACTTCATAAGAAAGCCTCTAGTCTGCTATGGCACATCACGCAACCACATGTCATGAATGAACATAACAATATTTCCACAAACCTACTATGAGTTTGTTATACTTGAATGCTTGATTATGTGAAAACCTCATGCGAACAAGGAATGAAAAGACACAGGATTCCAGAGAGATCTCACCCTTTTTAAGGTAGCAAAAGCCATCTTTCTTAACTCAGCATCTGGAGCATACATGATGACTGACAGAATAGCCTGAATATTTTCTAACATCAGCAAGAGATCAGAGGAAATGATTCATGATTTATGTTGGGACATGGCAGGAGAATACCTGCAGAGTAGAAATAAGGCTGGGTGTAAAGGATGAGCATATCATGTCTTCGTTCACAACTTGTTCACTGTTTTCTGTGATGACCAGCAAGAAGTCTGCCGCATGTTTCTTTAAGACCCAAGGCAGCTCACCTAAAGAGAATATGTACTTCATCATGCCTATAGTTGACCATCTTCTACTTTGGGAGGTCCTAAGATCATTCTTAAGAAGACTGACATCCTGCCCAGCTGCCTGAGGGACTTCATCAGATATATGCCCCCAAATCACTGGATCAAAAGACGAGAAAGAAGTGTAACAATGAAACAGGACAGTACTTAAGAAGATAGTACAGTAGAATAATCATGGACAAATACTCACCTGAAAGCACTGCTCCATGATTGACATAGCAAAAGCAATCCATATAATCATCCGTTTCATCTGGACATCATAGATGGGAAGAGAAAAGGAATCACCACCACAGATGCCAAGATAAATGGAAAGTTGACAAGGAAGAAGGCAGACTAAGTTGATAGCTCACCACCACGTATAAGATTGATAAGTGGATCAACTCCAAGGCCACATACAAGATCCGCATATGATAAACCACAATACGGAAAGAAGCTTGATAATGTTTGAACAAAGGAAAGACAAGACGAAATTTCATCCCCCGCGCTGATTGAAACAACAGTCTGCAGGACATGTAATAAACAAGCATTACATGACATGGTAAAGCCTGCTAAAGTGAAGGAAACAAAATGGAGATGAAAGCCAAAAATAAATGTTAATTAACAATGAAGTTAAGGCTTTTAAGCAATGGGTTCTCAAAAATAGGTAAGAGACGGAATTAATATCTCCTTTAATGAATTGAAGATATTACAGAAACATAAAATTAGGAGATGAGTACCAACCATGATTTGTAAAACATACAAGCTGAGTAAACCACGAAGTTGTCCATTTGCTCCATCCTCCTGTTGGTCAAGAATTAATCAAATTGATGAGCCAGAAAGAGATTGGACCGAGAAAGTATGATTAATTTCACATGTCATAGATTAACAGACCAATTTTTTACATGCTTCTAGCATGGAATTGGCAATGCTAATAGCTCCTTCAAACAAATCCTTGAAGCCTATATCTCTATCATCCAAATCGAAAGACGCAGCCTTCACAACATTAAGGATAATGGGAAGAGCAACTTTAATTTGTTCAGCCTGACGTCTACGTATGGAGAGAAATGCTGGGGAAAAAAAAAATTCATTATTCTTCCAGCCCAATGAAGAATATTTGGACATTCAAACTATTCACACTTGTAGATTGAAATTGAATTATAATTAAAGTCAAAATCTACAATTAGAAGAAAAATGTTGCATCAAGGTAAACAACACTCCTTTTTTCCTTTGAAAAAGTGTGTGCTCAAGGCATACAGTAGGCACCTTTAGAGACCCCGCATAGAAGAGCAGAAACATAACCAGATGCATCAGTTGTTTTCCCATAGGAATCCAATGCCTGCTCCAATGATATCAAGTTGTCAGAAATGTAAAATCAATACGAAACAATAGCACAGTAGAATTATTAACACGTCCATCATCAACAAGATGTGGCCAACAATCATTCTAATCCTCCAATAAAGCATGAGATAAATAGATGATTAAGCACACAAGTATTTCGATGCAATCTGAAGCAGACCATAGCCATGCCAATAACAGTTCTGAAAAGCAACAGCACAGCATATGAAACTGAAAGTTAGTTTTTGAAGAAGAAAGAGCTACTCTGGCATAGACACTAAATTATGGACTGTTCTTCAGCCGTACAGCTTCAGAGTCAGAGCTAACAGGCTATGAACTACATGATTTCTATTGTTACTTAGGTAAATATAAATAAATAATTTTGTGATTTATAAATTCTTAAAAACGTTGACAGTGATTTTACCAAGAAAAAAAAAAAGTGACTGATAGATCCCAAAAGAAATTTCTTTGCCATCAATAGACAAACATAGCAAGCTGAAAGTCAGGAAAGTAAAGAAATCAATACAAGTAATACACAGGGAGCCAATCAAATGCCTTTTCAAGTATTTTGAGACTTTAGCCTTGCTGTAATTACAGAAATAACGATGCTTGGTACCACAGTGCCCCTTTCTCATGAAAAATTTGTGTATTCCTACAATCCTCTAAGCTTGGCACTCTCAGTTTTTGTTTCTTTGCTCCTTATCTTGACTCTTGAGAGCACATTTCCCTCTAGATTTACAGAAATTCCAATCGTTTCTAGGCAACTTTGTGTTATCACCACTTTGACTCCCCTCCCAACCCTGCCACCGAAGAGAAAGGTAAGTGAAGAAGGGAAAAAAGGAATAGGACAAATGGACGAGTGAGGACATCAGGCAATTTGCTTAACTTCAATAAACATAGTCCTAACATTATGCTCATGTTTCCAGACTCCCTACTAACCCCTTTTCAATCCATTTACAAGTATTATGCTATAGACATCAAAAAGGGGTTCAATTATACGAAGTATGCAATAACACTGTGTGCTAGACTGCTAGTTCACAAACATTTGCTAAATCAGTTAATAACACGTAAGAAATAATATGGCAGAAAACAAGCCTTAAGAATTTGATAGCTTACGAACTGAATCATACAAAAGCGCGCGGGGGGTTGGGGGGGGGGGGGGGGGCTTCCAATGCATGTTTATGGAAAATTTAACACCAAAATAAGCACACAGGTTTGAAAGTATATACCTCAGAGAACACTGAAATCATGTCGCGTGGGCTACATTTTGTTGTGAAGTGATCAATAACACTTTCAACAATTTCACGGCACCTCTGGGACACTCCTGCAAACTTGGCAATAGCCTTGGGCATCTCAAATGAAAGTGCATCAACAATAGCCTGTTAAAAACCAACTTGTTAAAGGTATCCTCACTAGACGGAGCCGGGCAAGGCTACTTAGTACTTACATAGTTACATCCAACCCCCCTTACCCCGTCAATGGCAAGAGCTAGATTAAAGGCATAGGGATGATGTTGTTGATGTAGAATGGTAGATGATCCATAACATGTATAGCAACGCTCTCAAACGTGTATTTAAAAGGGTTGTTTCAGTAACAACAATAATCAAACAACTCAATTAAACAGCTCATAACACATCCAAAACATAAAAGTAATTTCTTCAACTAAACCTCAACAATACCCTTATCCTAATTTCTGCTAAATAGGTTCTTCAACCTTCAATGTAACACATGCCCACAAAACCCTATTCACAAAAATTCACAATCAAACCTCCAAACCCCAGATTTTGTAGAGAGATAAAGAGAATAGTACCTGATCAAGAGAAGGATTTGAGAGGAAAGAATGAATATGCGTAAGAACAACGATTGAATTGTTTCGATTTTCTTCATCATCAGGATCTGAAATAGCAGCATCAGAAATTGAGCTGAGAAACTCAACAATCCCAGAAATTACTTGTTCCGATTGACGAATATCACCATCTTCTTCTGCCTACAACAAAAAATCAATAAAGGGTACATGTAAAAACAGCTAAATGGGTGTTTAAACTTTCTGATCAAAAAGTGCTGTTATTACTTGATCAAATGCGAAAAGGGATGAGAGTGAAAACCTTGGAGCAGGAGTCAAGGGATTGTTGGAGGCGAAGAATCAAGGATTGCGAAGAAGGAGAAGCTGTAGATGTTTCTTCTGATGGTGCTGACATTGTTGAAGCTTTGTGCTGAGTTTTAGCGCGATTCTATTGCTGCTCAATGTTGGGATTTTGGAGTAAAATTTCCAGTGAATTCGCGGGAAGATGACATAGACCTTTTTTTGGGTTAGACACACACTATAAGTAGAGGTGTGAATTCTGGATGTCAGGTCGGGTTCAGTAAAAGTCAAGTTGGGTCGGATTGGGTCTAATTTTAAACTTGAATTATGCTAAATTATTGTATTTATGCGAGTTAAAATCTAAAATGAATATTTTTTGGGTCGAGTAGGTTTTGATACCTCTAACTATAAATGCTAGTAAATGCTAATTTGCACATGATTAATAGCAAAATTGTCAAAAAAAATCGTGGATTTTTTATTGGAGTTTGTAAGCAAGTATCTTAATATAGGATAATGAAAAATATTAATAATATAATGAAAAATATTAGTAATGGTGTCTTGGTTGACTTTGCTTTTCACTGGCTAGTCGGCTACCATTGTAAACTTGTGCTTTTAGCCTACTCTTATGAACTGATTTTTCAAATTCCCTTTCTCTGTTTGGTTGACACAATAAAATGGGGGAAGTGAAAATTAATGAGAATTTATAATGTGGATAGTTGTTTGGTTGACACAACAAAACAAAAATGAGGGAAGTTGGAATTCATGGGGATTTCTACTTCCCACAAAACATAGGAAGTAAATTACCAAGGTCCCCTTGTTCAATAAAAATTCATGGGAATTTCAACATCCCATTGTTACAACTAAACAACTTAAAGAAATTCCTATGAATTTCATTTGGGAAATAACTTCCCATAAAATACAACTTCCTACAGAAATTTATTTCTCGTGTTAAACGAGGGCTTATACTTTTCATCCTTACCCTACTTTTCATCTTTTTTTTTTTATTTATTTTTATTTATTTTTTATTTGTTGCTTTGTATTTTTTTTAAATTCTTCTTTTGTTATCCTATGATTATATAATTAACATGTGAAACATGTTTTCTTAATCATTATATTATGTTAACATTTGAAACAATTCTTCTTAATAACTTTAGCAAATTGCTTATCTTATTGTTATTTTTAATTTTTCCATTACACAAGATCTATTTTGATACCTAAAATATCAATGAGTGTCTTAAATAGCCAAATATGATTCAATAATTACATGATAATTGATCATTATTTTGAAGCACTTTATGCAATTGGCCTAACACTTTAATATTAAGAAGTTCCATTGACATTATTCTCTAAGTTTATATTAGTCAAACACTCAGACCTCAAATGCATGCAAATTAGAACAAAAATGGTTAGATGTAGATCTACATATGTAACTAATGACGTTTTAGTAATTTTTTATTTTTTTTATTTTTTTTTTCATCATAGTAAAAGCATACATATTGATCCAAAGCGCATAATATTAGTCCCCCAGCCACTTTTTTTTTTATTTTTTTTATTTTTTATTTTTAACCATGATCTCACTTCATGTAAGGATTTTTTGGATCAAATGATGTAAAAAACAAGGGATAAAAGAGGTATAACACCTCAACACGAACATTATTAATTATAAAGGCACATAGACAATTGTAAATAAAGAGGTTAAACATCGTTATAAAACACACTTAATATTAATAAAATGGATAATGCTAAAAAAAATAATAAATTGATATGTAGTACTGATAACAAAGCATTAATCACACCATGATTTTATCATAAAATATTAGTCATAGTAAATGTTTATATGTAACCCATTCTCATAAATGTGATTTGTCATTTTACAGAGCTATCAATTCGAATATTCAGATAGGTTCGATAAAGTCGGGTCAAGTCAGGTCAGGTCTACTTTAAATTTAAGTATATATATAATTTTTTTTTTTAAAAGAGTCATGCTATTTGTTATGCTCAAACTAATCGATATCTGAATTAACTTTTTTTGGGTCAAGTTAGTCGGGTAAGTTGTTGACGGACTTGACAACTCTAATTTTACTCGTTAAACCGGGTGTTACTTTCACCAACTGTGTATTTTTATTAGAGTATTGCATTTTACTATTCCCTTTAGCCCTCCTTCAGGAACGTTTTTCCAGTTTGAGCTCTAAACGTAAACTATTGACAAAAATGGTAGCGTGGCAAAACTATTTACCAAACTAAGCTTCCAGGGTAAATCGCTGTCTCGGACAGCGTTTTACCCCTGGTTTTTTTTTTAAAAAAAATTCAACTGGTAAACGCTGTCCCAGACAGCGTTTTACCTTCTGTATTTTTTTAAATTCAGTAGGGCATAAAACGCTGTCTCGGACAGCGTTTTATCCTTGGGTTTTTTTTAAAAAAAAAAACCAACTACAACTATTTTATATGTTCAACATAAAGCGCTGTCTCAGACAGCGCTTTTTTGCTGGAAACAGCAACCAGCATCCAGGCAGAAAACAAGCTTCAGCAAACAGCTTGCATGCTGCAGTCCTCCAACAGCCACCACAACAGCCAGCTCCACAGCCCTACCGTCCATCGTATCTGTTCACATGCAATTTAACAAATCCCAACAGAGTTAACGCATTAGCAATTAACCAAAATGTTAACGATCAAATGTTCCAAATGTTATTAAATCAAAATGTTCCAAATGTTATTAAATCAAAATTTTCTATTACAAAATAATTCCTCCATCTACGATTACAACGAATTTCAGTTAACAGTCATGGGTCCTCTGAGGGTCTCGATGGACACGTTGCCCGGTTATGGCCCTGAACGTGACAACGACTACATTTGCTCGCGGGCCGGTTAGTCTCATCCATTTCATTACGTATGCGCTTTGACCTTGGTCGCCCTATTCCACGCAACATGCTCCCGTCGGGAATGATTCTGGGACCGTTATAGGGCGTCCAGGTTGTCTCGCAAGGGATTGGCCAGAATTGCGGCGCGTATGTGCTCGTGTATGCCTCCGATTGCAGCACCGGGTCAACCCACGGCCGCTCTGATAGTGAGTACGTTGCACATACGGCTAGAACGTGAGAACATGGGAGGTGAAATATCGTAGGTTTGTTGCAGGTACACGTTCTTAACTGAAAGTTAACAGTATGTTTATGGCCTCCTTTACTACCAAGTCGGTCTCCCCTTTCTGTTGTAACTTGGTAAATATGCAATCGACGGTTATACGCATCCACTCTGTGATATCTGGCTTTTGCGGTGTTCTTCTCTAGAATGGCAGTGACCTTGGGGGGGTATGCAAGTCCCTGTTCAAATCTTGCCTCAGAAGACTCCCTTCTCAAAGTGAAATATTTGTTAACTCTATGAAAAGTTAACTCGACTAGGGACATGATCGGTAGAAACCGTGCTCCCTTCAACACGTTGTTGAATGTCTCAGAGAAGTTAGTAGTGCAAATCCCGTATCTACGTCCAGCGTCGTGAAAGAGGGACCACATGGTGAACGGAATTTGAACAATGTACTCCATTGCCTTGTTACACGCCTCACTAATGAAACACAGATCGCCGTGTAGTTTTCTTTCCTGCCTTTGGTACGCCGTAGCCTTGAACATATCTCTCATGTCGTTTCGTCGCACGTGAGTCTTCAAGTTAGAAGCTATGTGGCGAACACAAAATCTGTGATAGGCTCGCGGCTCGGTAAATCCAACGTTCGGATCAGTCATTGCTGCAATGATCCCAGGATGTCGGTCAGATATAACACAAAGGCCATCTCGTTGAGTGACATGAACCCGAATGCAACCCAGGAACCAAGACCAGCTGGAGGTGTTTTCCCCCTCAACCAACGCAAATGCTAGAGGAAATACTTGGAAGTTTGCATCAACACTTGTAGCAACCAACAGTGTTCCTTTGTACTTCCCGTACAAGTGCGTCCCATCGATACAGATAACTGACATACAATGTTTAAAACCGTCGATACAAGGGCCAAACGCCCAAAACACTCTTTCAAACACTTCCATGTTGCTGTAGTAAACACCGTCAACCAACGCTTTGTACTTCCACACAACACACGTTCCCGGGTTTGACTGTTGGAGGGCTTGCATGAAGTGCGGAAGTCTGCCGTAAGAACTCTCCCAATCACCGTAAATATCAGCTATTGCTTTCCCCTTTGCATACCATGCCCTCCGGTACGGGACATCGAAATGAAATTGCTTGGAGATGAGTTCTTGTATGAATTCAACTTTCAAAGACGGATCTTTCCGAACAAAGGACTTCACAAAATCTGATATTAACGACGAATCCAAATGCGGGTGATCAGTGGACAATACTTCCGTGACACAGTTCTCCCGGTGCGGGCCTTTGTATGTGACTAGGGCGAAGCCACGCGAGTGCTTACTAGATTTGGTACCCCGTAGCATCCAACCACATTTTTTCTTGCACCGCAAATGAAGCACACTCTCATTCGATGTAATTGTGGTGTAGAACTGATTCCTCTGTATGGAATACATCTTCACCATTTCTTGGAGCACTTTCTTACTTTCGAACCACATCCCCTTCTCAAATTCCCCCCCCGGAACAAACGACGTATGACTACCCGATTCGGCCCAATCCTGATCAACTTCGTAGTTCTCGTTCACCTGACTGAACCAAGGAATGGGAGTTCTAACCAGGGGCTCGCCCACTTCCATCCGAGCAGGTTCTACATCCATGTTCTGAAGTCCATCTTCCTCCTCTCCGCTATCGGCCTCATCATTTGTGTACACATCATACACAGAAAGTTCGTTATTCACAATATCTTCGTGCAGCATTCGACTGAAAGATCCCATCCCATATTCAGTTGATGGAATGTCGTGTGACGGCACTTGAAAGGGCTCTGTGTTGTACCCAGAAATACGTGTAGATTGTTGTTCTGGCCGAGTACTTTGTTGGGTACATATAGACACCGTTTCCACATATATTTCAGTGGGAACACCCTTCATTGCAACAACGTTCCTTAGAGCTGTCACATGCTTATTCGTAGAAACCGGTAACACTTGAACCCCATTGCCGGTCTCAAACCTCATTTTAATGTGTACGTCAACGGTCATCGGGTCTGAACCAATACTACTATGAACCTCATTCATCAAATCATTCATAGTCATGTTCGGTTCTAGTGTTAGTGGTTCCATATTTCCCCCACTATACTCGACCCGGG